AGATGGAGGAACCCCGGGGAAGAGAGGGTCCCACGCTGCCATCCTTTGGCTGAGCCTGGCCCAGGTCTGGGTGCTGCACAAGGCCTCCGGTCCACAAGCGTTGACTCGGGGTCGGGAGGGTGACTGATGACGTGTGGGGATGAATGGAGAGCAGCCCTGGACCCGTGAGCCAAATCCCATTTCAGAGCCTTGCCCTGTGGAGCCTGCTTGGGCCCACACCTAGAACGAGTCCAGATTTGTCACCTGCCCCCTGCACGGTCCTCCCTTCTGGAAGCCTCTGCAGCGGTCTGAGCCCTGAGGCACCACTGGCAGGCGAGGCCTCTGCCTCGGAGGTGTGGATTGCACGGAGTAGCCCCAGTCCTGAGAGGAAAACGGCAGAGCGTGCTCTCACGTATGACACGAGCCAGCCTGAACACACCCTTTCCACCCTGGCAGCATCGAGGACGAGTTGTGGCTTCCAAAATTCTCTTCATCCCCAAACCTGGACCAGGCAAGGGCCTGACGCCTGCACGCCCAGGCATCCATCATCAGACAAAGTGGCTGGACTTGGTTTTGAGGAGGCTGCATTTGATGGGCTGAGTGGAAGGAAGCTTAGAGCACGGAAGGCACTCTCTGGTTCTGAGCGCCAGGATGCAGGAAGATGTTGTCTCAGGACTGGAGGGAGGTAGCAGTGCCTTTGGTCCCTCTGTCCCATCTCCAGTCTCTCCAGAAGGTGAAGGCAGCCTTGGTCCCTGGAGAGGGGTGCAGGTGTGGGGGTTGGGGTTTAGTCAGGGTGGCCCTGAACTGGGGGGGTGTGGTCAGGGTCCCTACTGCTCTGGTAACTAGGCTGGAGAGAAAGCCAAGGCTGGAAAAGTTGCCAGGGGACATGGCCCTAGAAGGCTGGGGAATCAGAGCGACAGCCTCAGAGGCGTGGGCTGGGCGGGAGAGGATAAAAATGGAGTCGGGCACCTGCCCGCCTTGTGCCAGCCAACACTTTCCCTGCCCCTCCACTGGCCCACAGGCCACCAGCTGGCCCATTGTCCCCAGTGAGAAATCAGACACTGGAGGGGGGCTCCCATGTGGCAGGAGCTCACTCATGCAAGGCCGCCTGGTAGGGACTGCCAGGGGAGAGCCACCCGTGCTGGGTCGGGCAAGGCGAGAAGGGGGGTGGCAGAGAGAGGATCCCTCACTGCACAGCAGTCAGGGCTCCTCCTGTGCCGTTGGCAGGGGGCAGTGTGTGGGGCCTGCGAACAGGAGATAAAGAGTTCAGGCAGAGGGTTTTCTCTCACTAACCCGTGGATTTGTGTGTTTGTTCAGCTGGTGGCTCTGATAAGCCCCATTCTGCTAGATAAAAGCCAAGCAGCCATGAGGCGGGGCCTGGGGAGGGGTGTCATAAAGGGGCCTGCCTGTTTCTGTCCCAAGGCCTGGGGTTATCCCCTCCCTTCCCTAGGGAGCCCAGACAGGGAAAGGAGTCAGGCCCTGGGGTGTCATGCTCCCTGATGTGCCAGCCTGGGGTGCAGCTCCTGATCCCCAGGGGCTGTCCAGAGCAGGCCCTGACCTGAGGGCACAACTCCCCAAAGGGCGCATCATTTAAGAAAGCTGGCCAGGCTGGCTCCCGCCTCTGGGTGGGGAGGGCATCTCCTTGCCCTCCCCGGGAGCCTGCCCACCCCAGTCCTAGTGGCCTCTCTGGGCCCTGCAGCCACTGACTGGGCCCCTGCCAGCCCCCTTCCCCTGTCTGCCCAAGGTGTGCCCCCAAGCTAACTGGGTGGACAAGGGCCTGCCCCCATCATGCCCCTGACTGTCCTGAGTACCCCGTCACCTTGTCGGGGCAGGGGTTTACTTGGTAAACTGTTTGAGGGCCCTGGGCCTGGGGATGGCCCGTGGGGGCCTCAGCCACGTTGAGTGGGCCCTAGCCTCGGCCCTCCCTGCCCATTCCACTTGGCATTGGCCAGGAGGGTGAAGGGGGTGCCGCCTGAGCAGGATGGTGGGGCCCTGGCCACAGCTGCCCCTGCCGCAGGGCTGGCTCTTCTGCCTCTGAGCCCGGGTCCAGATTTCTAGTGTCTCTGCCTTTTGTCCTGGAGCTGAGCTGAGCGTGCCGGGGGCCGGCGGCGGTGGCATTGCGGGGATGCTGGCTGGGGCCGCCAGCCGTAAGATGGCTGCCAAGGGCTAAAATGGCTGCCAGCAGCGCCCGGAGCACCGCCTGGAGGCGCGTGGCAGCGGGCCTTGCCTGCGCTGGATCCTCACTCCTGCTTTCTCCCTTACGTGGAGATAATAGTAATAGCAGCAGTAATGTTTCAGGGCAGTGTCCTGGTTTAGAAGGATTTCCTGTCTGTCGCGCTCTCCTGGAGCCCCATTTGTCTCTGCCTCTGTCGCTGGCCCACCTCCATCTCTTTGTCGGGTTCTCTCGTCTTTCTGTCCCAGGGCTGGGTGTGCGCATGCGTGCGGCTTTCTGTCTCCACCTGGCCATTTTGGAAGAGCTGGGACCAGTCTCATTGAGTAGCCTCCTCCATTTCCTCCTACTCCACTGTCTCTGGCCTGGAGGGCTCCGTGGGGACTGAGTTGGTCCTGGGACAGGTGGGGTCGGTAGCAGGGACCCCTCGGCAGCAAAGCCTTGACTGTGTGCCCCTCGCTGGGCTCCACATGCAGGTGCTGCAGCTGCGCTCTTCCTGAGGTATGAATCTGGGAAAGGACGGCCCTGAGAGACATCAGGCTCAGGGCCCTGGTCCAAGGAGGCCCTAAGGTGGGCTGCCTACTGCCTCAGCCCCTTGCCTGCTCCCTCCTGGACCGGCTGGGGCTTGAATCAGACCCAGAGAGTCAGGAGTGAGCTGAGGTGAGAGAACAACAAGAAAACTCACATCCACAGAGAGGTTGCCCTCCCAGGAGCGTGGAAGGAAGTCCTGTGGGCTGTCTCCAGAGCAGAGTGCCACTAGCAGAGAAGTGGCCTGGGGTGGGATTCGCCATCCCTAAACACATCACAGGGGTGAGTGCACAGGGAGGTGTGGAAGGACACACCCCAAACACAAGGGGGTAAGGGGCCCTGTTAGCACTTATAAAGCTCCATCTTCTTGATTTGTGACTAGATTTATTACTTTTTTTTTTTTTTTTTTTTTTTGTGTGGATTACCCTTGGTTCAATTCATACATTCTTGGATAATGGTTAAATCTCTTTTTCAAATCTACAACTGGAAGAGAAGGCTGGTATAAACATCTCCTGGATCAATTCTCAGTTTCTTGTAAGAATATGTCTAGTTCGGCTATGTACCACTGTGGTGGCTATTTATCCTACAGAAATTTTCCTGTTCTCTTCTATTCTGAATGACAAGCTAGATAAATTACTGCAATTCCTAGGACATATTCTTTCTAGGAATTTCTGATAGTCTCCAGTTCTTGCTACAGCATTTTATTTATGGAAACTATCTCTTAGGCAATAATGCTTTATTACTAAACCTCTATTGTCCAGCTGACTTTCTGGGATTTTCCGTCTTTGATTAGATAAAGAATAGAAGTCAGGAGGCAAAAAAAAAAAAAAAAAAAAAAAAAGTGAAACCATCCTGGGGGCAGCCTGTTTTTTTTCCACCTGCCCCAGTGAGGCAGGAGGCTAGGAACTTGGTCGAGCCGCAGTAGGTCCTGGGCTCTGAAAAGGCTACTATTCTGCCCACCAGCCCCAGCACCCAGGGCTCTTCCTTCCTTCCCAAGTGGCTGCAGGGTCCCCCCACTTCTATCTCCTGGGCCCATGTCACTCTTCAGGAACCTCCGTGCTGGTCACTCCCCAACATGAGCAGCTCAACTGTGAGGCCAGTGTAGGATGGACACCCTGGTGAGCCGGCTGATTGTGAGGTGGTGGGCGAGGGTGGTGGAGGCAGGGTTACTCCAAAGAGTCAGGCAAAGCCCTGGCCAGTACCAGGGCCCGGTTTTCTGAGGCCACCCCCTGTGGTCCCCCTGTGAGAAGATGATTCTTTACCCAATGCCTGCTTTTCCCCTGCCCCACAACCTGCCCTGGCCCCCCTCTGCCACCCTCTCACCAGCTGTCGTGCCCAGGCAAGCATTCTGGAGGTCCCCGTTGTGCCCCTGGCACACAAAGCTTTGAGGACCTGGGGGGCAGGGGCGGGGGGCTTTCCCAAGCTCAGCAAAATATTCACACACACACTCCACCCTGCCCCCAGCCCTCTGTGAGCTCCCACCGCACAATGGGCCCTTGTCTCGGGGCTCCCTCCGAGCAGCTGTGGCACTGGGGCATGAGACGGCCCAGACAGGCTGGCACAGAGCAGGCGACAGCGTCAAGGCAAACCTCCCCCCCCCACCACCACCGCCCCGTGTTGCCAGGCACTGCCCGTAAGCATAAAGGTGAGGTGGGGGTGGCGTGGGCAGACAGGAACGGCTCTAATTAATGAAGGGAGGGAAGGGGCTGCTCCTCTGGAGCTTGAGCTGGGTAGAGAATGGGGGGCCCTTGGGTCCATCCCAGCTGTGCAAAGAGACAGTTGCTGGCTTCTCTCCTGGGCGCCTCCTTGCCCTGACTCTCAGCCAGTGCGTTCACTCGTGGGCAACTTGCCCCCAGGGCACATCAAGCAGTGCCTGGAGACGGGTTTTTTGGTTGTCACAACTGGGGTGCTACTGGCATCTAGTGGGGGGTGGAGGCTAGAGATGCTGCCAAACACCCTGCAGAACCCAGCATAGCCCCACCACGGTAGTAGCAGTTCCCTCTCTCCCTGGTCTCCTTGGGCTGCTCAGGGAGGGAAA